CGTTTTAGGTGACAATATATACTTTTGTCGGTCTATAACCAATATTTCGATGTGTTACAAACGGAATGATAAAATCAATATACCCCATCTTTTTTGATGGTGGGTATAAAAATGACATGGAGCTTTTAAAATAATTGGGTTTACAAAAATCTTCTAATATCGCTTAGGATTAGAACCACTAACTTCCTTATTAGACATATGTCTAGACAATTGATCCCAAATCCTATTGAAAAAAAAATATTAATGTTGTTAATAACGACCACTCATTGCCAAGTAATGTATGAAATAACTACATCACTCATTAGCAAAATTAGAAAATATTTACTGGATAGTATGCAACAAGTAATTATACCCTACACCACTATAGTGAGGATTGTATTATACGTTTGTGCTGATGTTTGTAACACACATATTGGTCCTACGCCCACCTTTAAGTATACCGATCGACTCAGAATCACATTTTGAGTCGATTGAGTCCGTCCGTCCGTCTGTCCGGCTGGCTGGCTGTCCATGTAAACCTTGTGCGCAAGGTACAGGCTGCAATTTTCAAGATAATTTAATGAAATTTGGACCAAGCATGTTTTTTGGCACAAGGACGAAGCCTATTGAAAATGGTTGCAATCGGTCAATTATTTCACCTAGCCCCCATACAACCGTACCTCCCGATTTGGGCTTTTTATGATATAATTTCGTCAAATATACTATTATCTCTCTATAAATTGGCACAATTACGTTTTATATAAGTATAAATGACACTGCAGATTTTCGTTATGATCGCCCCTTATATGACCATAGCCCCCATACAAATCCCCCTTCAAAAAATGTCTTAAACGTCTAAAATTGACTTGTAACCATTTGTATCGCAATGAAACTCAACATAATAAACTATTATTTAAAAATATAGCCTTTTCCCAAATTTAATGAGGATCGGCTCATATTTGACCTATACTCCTATATAAAGCCTCATTTAGAAAATTTGGTTTTTATCAATAACTTGCTTAAATACTTTGGAATTAAGGTAAAAACATAAAAGTTTCTTTGTGAAAAATAAAAATTTTTAAAATATACTCATGGTGTAGGGTGTTATATGGTCGGCCATGCCCGACTATACTTTCCTACTTGTTTTATACCCTACACCACTTTAGTGGGGAGGGTATATTGGATTTGTGTTGATGTTTGTAACATACAAAAATATTCGTCCTAGACCCACCTTAAAGTATACCAATCGGCTCAGTCGATTAAGCTATGTCCGTCCGTCCGTCTGGCTGACTGGCTGACTGGCTGTCCATGTAAACCTTGTGCGCAAGGTACAGGTCGCAATTTTCAAGATAATTGGATGAAATTTGGCACGCACGTTTTATTTGATCCAAGGACGAAGCCTATTGAAAATGGTTAAAATCGGTCCATTATTTCACCCGAAAAGGGCTTCTGAGCTCATATAGCTCATACAGATATATCGATAAAATACGGCTCAACTAAGTTTTATAGAAGTATTGATGACCCTGCACAAATTTCATAAAGATCGGGCCCCATTTGACCCTAGCTCCCATACAAAGTCCCCTTCAGAAAATTACTTGAATGTCCCAAATTAACTTATAAACACAAATATCGCGATAAAATTAAGCACAATAAAATATTATGTAAATATAAATATATTCACAAAATTTTATCGGGCTTGGTCCATATTTGCCCCTAGCCCCCATATAAAGCCTCTTTCAGAAAATTAGTTTTTCATCCATAAATTGCTTAAATGTATCGGAACAAGGGAATATTGAAGATAAATGCTTTATTATGAAAAATAAATCACATTTAATATTCATAACTGGTGTAGGGTATCATATGGTCGGCCACGCCCGACTATACTTTCTTACTTGTTTTCAATTGCCGATTTTTAAAATAAGTAAGTGCCAACAAATGCCGATTTTTTAGGAAAAAATTGCCGATATTTCCACAAATTTATTTGACAGTCCTACATTGGTCTACAAAACCTGTATAATATAAGTTCTCCAATTTCAGAGAAGCGCGTTCCATTGTAGTATCAATAGAAACACATGCCAATTTGCGTCCTCTCTAAACATTATGTTTTTTGTTTGCGTTTGTCCAACTTACAAAAAAATGTGATATTTTTAATAATGTTATTTTGACAAATTATAGATAATCATATATATATTCAAAAATCACTGAAGAAGTTGGAAAAAACCGACTTAATGTCGAATATGTTGAAAATGGGATAAATAATCTTTTATTTGAACAATGACCTTAAAAGCCTGTTTATAGGAAACTATATTTAATAATTGGGTAATTTCAAAATAAAACGACCAAAAAAGACTGTGTTACATTTTTGCCCTCTTCGATTTTTTAAAGCTCACAGCATATATTCTTCTACCTAACGTGGTTTATGTGACGTATAAATTGGATCCATAACTTAAACAGTTCATAATTTATGGGTCTCTAAACATGGACATGTCGGGGATTTTTGTGAAAAATTCTAAATGTTGAAGAATGAATAACTTTGGACGCGGCCTCCAATTTAATTTTAAAATTTACCTTACAAAAGATCGTACTTTGGGTCAGAGGGCAACTTTAACACAAACAGTGTAATTAAATAATTTTCTGCTTTCATAGCTATAATAAATTATCACAATGTCGTTTGTAGACCAAAATACATTGAGGTTAGAAAAACATATCGCAAATAAACGAAAAATTACTATGACTAGTAAACTGCAAACAATATAAAAAAACGATTTTAAACCAAAATGTTGTAAATTTCATTCAGAAAAAAATAATACATAACTGGAATGAATTTTGTAATAAATTGTACGAATCGAACATGACTTTTTTCCCAAACCATTTTCATTCAGAATATTAAAAGTTCATAAAAGGTATGAACTTGTACATGTACATGCGCATATTTCATCAATTTCAAAAAATCATAAAGAAGTAAAAAATTTCCCAAAAAAATTTCAAACATTTTTTTAACAAATAGAAAAATAAATATAAATTTGAAATATTTTAATTCAAGGCTTCGAGATTATGTTTGAAAAAATAAAAATTTAAAAATTAATACCATTTAGGAACTTTTTCTTACATATTATTAACTTTTGTTAATGAAAGCAGTTCATAATATTTATGTTGAAACTTTTTTCTGTGTAGGATGCATTAGAGGACAGATATATATGTACATATAACTAAAAAAATATTTTTTAAACCTTTGACCTCCAATATTTCGTTCAATTAAGACATTATTTCGGATAATTTTTACCATCATATTAATGACATCAAGTTGATGGTCTACGGTTTTTACTTTATTTGGCATTAAAACATTGGCGATAAAACGTGAAATTAATCTAAATAAAACTAACATAACTTCCAAACCCATTGAGATACCATTAAGAAAAACAAAATATCCTTTTCTAAGATATGAACAAATTTTGCTATGAACTAATAGGTAATTAGTTACATAGATGAGAAGAAACACATGTTTTTCAAAAATTTCAAACTTTGATCCACTGTAACTCAGAAAGTTATGAAACTCTTCAGAGTAGTTATGAAATTCTTCAGAGTAGTAATTGATTTTTTTCTTTGTAGTTTTAAGCTTTTTTCCCAAAAAATCATGAAAAACGTCTACAAAGCGCCGCATGCTCACATTCAACTTCTTTAAGATTTTTTAAATACTTCATAAATTCCCGTAAGCATGGAGTCTTTTTTACGACTCCTTGCTAACTTTCCTTGAGGCTTATTAAAAATATTTTTGAATATTTTATATATAATATTTCAAAAAATTTATTGGAAAAAAACTAAAGTTTTTAAAATTTGCTTTAAAATTTTGGTATCAAATAACTATTTTTTGATCGATCATTTATGGACTAAATATGAACAATATTTTTGCTAGAAGTGTATACAATAGGGTGGGTCGAAAATAGGCTTTTCTCTCGGATCAACTTCTAATCGTGAAATTATGTTGTATTTTAAAGTCAAATGGAAGACTGTAAAATATTATTCAATTATTTTGAGGGTAAGAGCCCTCGCATCGCCGCCAAAGTTTGTAAATGCGTTTATATGGGAGAAAATGGCACTTTTTTGGAGACCACAGACTAAACCGAGTAAGCATTATCCAATTTGAACAAAAATTCATACTAGCACTTTTATGAATCTTATAAAGATAAATATAATATATTTTTGTAAAATTTTTCAAAATTAAAAAATTTTCTTATATTTACTTTTATGTGTCTTCAGAATCACAAAATTCTCGTGGGAAATTTTAATAACTCAAAACTTTTTTTAACCAATTTAAAGTTTTTCTATCTTTTTGGAAAGACAATTTTGCAGACATTACGATTTTGCTATAAAATGGTGCAATAATTAAATAAATATCTTATAAGCATCACAATTATTATCCAAATGATAATTTCTAATTTTTTGTTAAGATTCTGAACTTTAAGCGCTTGTAATTAACAGATGGAGCTACCTCTGGCCTTAGACGTTTGCAGTCTTTAATTCTATAACATATTTTTTAAAGGTGGATTTCATTTTCATTTCAGTCCCGTGTAAATAAACCAAAAATTTACGTGTTGTTGATATTTTGATCCAGTGGTATGAAATGTTATAAATTGGTGGTATTAAATGTTATAAATTTGTTACTTTTTAATTATAAATTCATGTTTTTGATTTAATAAGAAAAAGTTTGGTTTCACCGAACTTTGAAAATCGATACCGAACAAAATTTTGAGTTCGATCGGACTCTAATTTTCTTGTTTTTGATAGGTTAATGTCTTAAATTTAATTTTTATTCATAAACAACATTTGTATTTTATAAAAAGTTTATAAAAAAAATTCCATACAAAATCTAATTTATAAAATAAAAATGTTGTTTGTGAATAAGGGAGTTAAACTTTTTGGAGTATATTTTATAAAATTTTAAATACCGATATCCATAAGGTTCATATTTAGGTGACCAACTTTGAAAGTTAAAAAGAAACAATAAATCTCATTTGAATTACATTTTAAACTATCATATCGCCCTTTCTTAAAGGTTTCTTCTATTTCGGAAGTGTTATATTTATATTTTAGTTGAACAAGCAAATCTGATCGATTCTCATAGTATTCCCAACGCACAGTAGGTTTCTGGTAATCTTCATCAGCATATAGTGTTAACTGCATAACTTTGCCATTTTTTTGTGTATATGGAGAGAATCTTTCATGTTTAGCACCTTTGTATAAGATGGTTTTCTGAAGTTGTGGAAAACGTTCTTCAAATTCCTTCTCGCCAATATGCAATCGAGTTACCCAAGATCGTATTGTATCTAAATGTTTCTCTTCAGCTAAAAGTTGATCTGTAGAAATTATATTTTCGTCAGAATGTGCTGCATGAGTTCGCATTTCTTTAGGTTCTCCCGGCAATAGATGTTCCCAGTCTTTAATATTTCTTAGATCCCACCGAATGTCTTTAACGCGTAAATATTGCTGTTTGTTAACATAGTATTGTAAGTTATTCCATACGCTATCGATTATAATATAGTTCTTGTTATCAGAACCACTGAAAAGTCCTGTAGATGGCTCAATAAAATGCGCTGTAGGTTGTTCTTCAGTTATGTCCCCACTTTCGTTTTTATATTTTTTCTTTGGCTTTATACTCCATGGTGCATTTTCAATTATTGCCACCCATGCATGCGATCTTCGATAATGATATTTATCTGCCGCTTTTAATTCAAGCTCCTAGACATAAATTAAAAAATAATTAATTAATAAATGTGATATTTAATTCTAATTTTAATTTTAAAATTTTATAGGACATCTCAGTAGGATTTGTAAATACCATAGTAAAACCTATATATGTTACGGAATATGATATTATTTTTTCGCGATCATGAAAAAAGTTCCCGCACCTAACACGAAAAAGTTTTGTAAAATAACGATCATAAAAATAATTATCCCAATTCAAGTTTTATCTGAATTGCGAAAAAGCTTCCGCAATAAAAATATTTTTCATATTTTTCTCTAATTGTTATGTTTTTATTGAATATAACTTTAAAACCCTGTATGATCAAAATGTCTAACTTTGACCTCTAAGTCCGGCAGTTCTGGACCGATAGCGCTAAAATTGTTTGTCTGGCCTACTATCCAATAGTACTAACATTGGTGCAAATTTCGTCAAAATCGATTTTTTGAGTTAGGAGATATGTATGTATATATGTATGTATGTATGTATGTATGTATGTATGTATGTATGTATGTATGTATGTATGTATGTATGTATGTATGTATGTATGTATGTATGTATGTATGTATGTATGTATGTATGTATGTATGTATGTATGTATGTATGTATGTATGTATGTATGTATGTATGTATGTATGTATGTATGTATGTATGTATGTATGTATGTATGTATGTATGTATGTATGTATGTATGTATGTATGTATGTATGTATGTATGTATGTATGTATGTATGTATGTATGTATGTATGTATGTATGTATGTATGTATGTATGTATGTATGAATGTATGTATGTATGTATTTATGTATTTATGTATGTATGTATGTATGTATGTATGTATGTATGTATGTATGTATGTATGTATGTATGTATGTATGTATGTATGTATGTATGTATGTATGTATGAATGTATGTATGTATTTATGTATTATGTATGTATGTATGTATGTATGTATGTATGTATGTATGTATGTATGTATGTATGTATGTATGTATGTATGTATGTATGTATGTATGTATGTATGTATGTATGTATGTATGTATGTATGTATGTATGTATGTATGTATGTATGTATGTATGTATGTATGTATGTATGTATGTATGTATGTATGTATGTATGTATGTATGTATGTATTTATGTATGTATGTATGTATGAATGTATGTATGTATGTATGTATGTATTTATGTAGCACTACCTTATAGCCAATACTGTCCTGATAACAAAATGCAATTTTTTAAGTCACTTTAGTGAAAAAAACTTCCCGCATCGAAAGCAATTTCTAAAATTCTTTTGTTCGGTATTTTTACTAAAATTATGTTTATATAAATATATACTATTATCTATAATATTGTGATATTAATATTATTAATTAAATATTCTTCTGATGAGGAGCCGTAGCGGGCCCGAAAATGCATTCCATTCTGCTGTTGTGTCCGAAAAATTAAATTTTCAGTATCCTTATAATTAAAAACATCATTACAATTTGGAAAATAACTTATCCCCAAGTGGGACTCGAACTCGAGCCTGAAGTATATTCAATTAGTAATTTTAATATTACAGTCCGAAGAAATCAATAATTTTAATATTTTAACTAATTTTTTCACATATGATAAAATCTCACAGCAATTTCAGTGCACAATTTTAATCACAAATTCTAGCCAAAACATGCAAATATTGGTGGTTAAAATTGACTAAAATGGAATAAAAACATAAAAATTTTCGTTTTTTGTTCAATATTTATATTAAAAATCTATTTTCTTATGAATAGATATAAAAGGCTCAGTAAAAGAGGAAAACGTGTTTTCAAATTTTTTCATTACATTGTAGTTTATATTCAATCTGTGAAAGTTAACTAGAAATGTATTTTTTTTCCTAGTCGTATACGAAATATATTGTATATATGTACATTAGGGTTTCCCGTGGACCACTTTTTTGGAGGAATACCTCTCAAACGATGCGTACTAAAACGAGAAAAATAAAAAACTATTTTTTTTGAAAAGGTCCTCAGTTCCCTACCTGCGATTGAAGATCTTGATCTTAGTACAATATGTTTAAGAAAATTGCAATCATTTCGAAATGGGTCCTAAAAATTTCGTAAATTTGAGCTTATCGCTGGAAAAATAATTATAATTATTTTTAGTCCGCAAAAAACTTTTAGTGTATTATAAGGGGCATATAAATTTGAATATAATCTATATGGACCAAATCAAATGCTGAACTATTTTTTTTAATATTTGTCTGTATAAGCTAAAATTTACGACAATCTTGACAACTATTTCGATAAAAAGCGAAAATAATATGCCTCTCCAACCCACTTAAAATCTTTTTGTGGACCAAAATTACTCTACATAAATTTTAAAATTATTTTTCCCGTAATCAGCTCAAAATTATGGAACTTTTGAGATCCTTTTCAAAAAAAATTTAAATATTTTATTTTTTACAAATTATACTAAGATCAGGACTGAGGACCATTCGAAAAAAATATTTTTTATTTTTCTCGTATTCAGTACATTAATACTCATCGATTGAGAGGTATTCTTACATGAAATTATTAAAAAGGCTCTTCCTTGGGACACTCTATTGTACATATGTATGTAGGTTTGTATGTACATTTAATTTGTTAACTTTCAGATATTATTATTTTACGTAAATGTAATCAGACATATACATATAAACTATAGATTTACAATTTATTACCTCAAGTTCAGCCTTTATGATTTCTTCTTGTATTCGTTGTTCTTCTTCTGACCTTTCTCTCAAAAGTTGTGCCATATTTTCATGCAAGCGACTTTCCAAATCTGGCATTTGTCGCAGCTTGTACATTTGTTCAGCTTTTACGCCGCCTTTTTTATCGTCATCGATTATAATATCGATTATTTTATGCGGATATGGGACATTGCGTTGATTATTTTCTACCGTGTCTGCACGAGCAACTCCAGATACAACCACAGCTGGAAATCCAGCCCCAATAAGCATGCTACATAGAAGTGTCGCCATTTCAAAACTATTCCCGCGACGTCGTCTAAGCAATGTTGACGGTGACATCAGTCTTGTGGGCTAAGAGAAAATGTATTATTGCGCTTATTTTATTTAATATCCTTTTAATATAAAACTACATATTTAAAGGTATCGAGGTCATTAAAATAAGATAGTATTAGTAGTTGGAATGTAGATGTTTATGTTGGTATAAAATCAGAGCATTCTTTCATACACAGACCTAGTCAAGATTTTTTATCTTTTGTTTTTTTATCTTTCAAACAAAATTGAAGGAAGAAATCAATAAATAATTTGAAAAGAGACATTTTTCTGCAGGCAACTCGATGGTATTTGATGTTCCATCAGTACGTAACCATTGTTAGGATGTCCAAATACATGTTTAGAAGTACATACTAACACATACAGTCACATGTACAGATGAACTTGCATATCGCCATGCTAAACGCAAACCTCTCTCACTGACTAAATTTGAACTTTACAGGAAAACTCAAAAAGCTAAAATATATGTTATTTTTGACACAAACGTCACACAGTGAGTTTGATGGCACCTAAAGTGACGATTAATTCGAGGGAGCCGTAATTATAATATATTTTATTTTTTTTAACAAATCAGTAAAAATACATTAAAAGTCATCTTTAGGCAAAAAAATTACAGTAACATTTTTTTAGGATTTAATATGTATTTTTATTTTTCAGGAAATTGTGACTTGATTCCGAAATTTCGCTGTAGCTTTAAAACGGAAAGCGATATTTTCTCAAAAAAACTAATTCTAAAATTCAATTTTTTGATTTTTGTTCGTAATATTTCTTGTCTTCCAGATATGTAACTAAAACTAACGCATTGTTACGACGGATTATTCGTAATTCAATTCTAATTACATACATGATTCGCCATACAAAATTTCAAGTGCAAATTACATCATTGGTACTTAATTCAGATGAAATTATTTAAACTTCGACCGAATCAGTATCATCTTTAATTTTTAAAATTCTCGTGTAGAATTTATTTATGAGTTAAATACAATTTCGAAAGTGGACTTTACATGGGAGCTATTTCGCTGAATAATTTTTGTATGTCTATAAATAAATCCCTTTTCCGGGAGTATATAAATTTGTATGAGAGTTATATATGTGAAATTTTAATCCGATTCTATTAATCCCAGGAAAAGCTCACAATAAAAATCTGAGTTGAAAAGCTTATAAAACCAATTTTCACTACTTCTTCATTAGCATTTTAACTCATTATTTAACACAGTGATGTCATTGGAGGCAAGTACTTGCCACGCTCGCTTACAAATAGGCTTAGAAAGAAGTTGTTGGGTAAGTTGTTTTGTTGTAATGATAAAAAGAGCCAGCGAGTATACGAACCAAGGTTTGTTAGTCAAATGTTCTACTCACTGCACCACTGCTTGGCTATTTTATTGCGGTTCAAATAACGAAAATTTAAGTACTTCCATATCAGATTAAAAGAAAGTCATTATTAGAGTACTTCTAAGTAAAGCTGGCGGTTTTTGAAAAGTAGGTTGATGAGTAAGAATATTTATTACAATAATGATGTACACCTGAATTATTTCAATTTAGAGGCATTGAATTTATTTACACAAAACCATTATGAAGTTAAATGTTTTATGGCTTATTTCTCCATTCATAATTATTATGGATGAGAATTATTTTTTTTTTTCATATGAAAAAACTTATGTTTTAATAAATATTTTTGTACTCCTTATTTATTTAAGATGGAAAGAATTAATTTTAAATTTTAGTATTTGCCAAATTATTATTATAAAAATGAATAAAAAATTATTAAGAATGAGTAAAAAAAATAAAAATTTGTTTAATAGTTATTCTTCAATATTTATGTTTCTTTGCATTATATTTCTCATTTTTTCAAGTAGATACAGTTCAGTTATCTAACTGCATAGTTTTGCAATGAAAATATTTATAAAATTTAATACCAGAAGAATTCTTAACATTGTTCACGAAATAAATATTATAAAATGAACTTATCATTATTAAAACAATTCTTAAAATATATACATTAGGTTTATGACTTTTTTTGGGTGGCGAAATACCACAGCACTGTCCTGATAATATAAGGCCGTTTTTTAAGTAAATTCGGTCGGTAAATGCTTTTGTTCGCTTTTTTTTTCAAAAATTATTTTAATAATTTTCATATAAATGTATATTATTTTCTATAACATGCAATATTATCGCGATTTGTTAAAATTTCCATAACAAGGGTTTAAAGAACAATGTTCTCTTTAAGATAATGTAATACAAATGCAAAAATGTTGGCAAAAATATTTATTTTTCTCATATAGGAAAAGTAATATTTATACAAAACTTCATCGCCTTTGGTGCGGGAACTTTATTCACGATCGCGAAAAGAAAATTTCATATTTCTTAACATCTGTTCACGCCCTACAAGCTCTTGCCATGGTATTTTTGATATTTGCAAAATTTGCAAACGATTGTATGTGACATTCGCACGCCTTCAGAGTGGTATAGATTTTGTAAAATTAGGAGTACTTAGTAATCCATAATTTTTAAATAAAAAAAATAATATAATTTTATAATGAACATTTTTAAATATCGTACGTGACACATCGTATGTGACAGATTTTTCTCCTGATTTTTTTAGGTGTATCTTTTTTTTTTTAATTTCTTACACCATGGGACATATTTTCATTAGTAATCCATAATTTTTAAATAAAAAAAAATTAATATAATTTTATAATGAACATTTTTAAATATCGTACGTGACAATTCGTATGTGACAGATTTTTCTCCTGATTTTTTTATGTTATAAAATATATATTTTGGAAATATATGTATACACACACTTCAACAAATCAAAAGGAGTAGGAAAGTGCAGTCGGACATGGCCGACCTATATACATGTTTAAGCAATTTGATAAAAATAAAAAACTGCAGTTATATGGCGACTAGGGTCAAATACCGATCCTCATAAAATTCTAGGGTGTGATTTTAATTCATAAAAAACTTATTTGTGCCAAATTTTATCATAATACTAGTGATTAGAGGTGAGTTATGGACGTTTAAGTGTTTTTCTGAAATTAAACTTTGAATGGAACTAGGGTCAAATGAGGTCCAATCGTTATAAAAATCGGCATAAAGGTTTAGGCTTATAAACATTTTAGATCTGCCGATTTTTGAAGGGATAGTTTTATAATTAACAGAATTATGAGCTAAAAAGTGATATTTTCGGGTCCGTTTGTATGGCTGCGAGGTGTAAAAATAGACCGATTTCAAAAATTTTCAACAGTCTTCGTCTTTGGTGCTACAAAAGATCATATACCAAATTTTGTTGAATTATATTCAAAAATGCAGAAGCTATAAGGGTTTTATTTTTTCAGTCGTGGTTTATCTTTTCATGGAATTACCCATATGGGCAATTCCACACGATTGTATGTGAAGTTCGTACGCTTTCACAGTGGTATAGATTTGGTAAAAATGGCAGTACTTGGAAAACAATATTGACATTCTGCTCCATTCTGAGAATATGATATTTGCAAAAGAAATCATCCCATTCGGAATCTTGTTTTCCAAAATATGGATTAAAATATGGCGATATCATACGTGACGAAATACGGAAGTGTTTTTAAGATACATGTAAATATTTACGAAAATCTGCGAATTCTGTAGTTCTATTTTATTTGTTTTAATTTCTTACACTATGGGACATATTTTTCAATTGTAATCCATAATTTTTAAATAAAAACAAGTTAGAGTGCTATATTCGGTTCAGCCAAATCTTAAATACCGTCCAACAGCTACTTTATATTAATAATTTTAATTCCAAGATTTATTGAACATTACAAACCCCATTTTTTTTTATATTTTTATAGCGCCCTAAGATAGGCTTTAACGATATTTAATAATGTGCATGTATGCATGTATGTGAAAGATTTAAGGATTTTCAAAATACATACAGTGTCTCTCATAATTATTCGAATTTGGGTAAACTATAAAAAGAAACCAAATTTAATAATATATTTTGTGTGCAAAATAAATAAATTAATTTGTTATATTGTCTAGATAGTCCTTATGTTTGATATCACGCTTTTTAAAACTTGAAAAATTTGCATTGACTTAAATTAATTGTGCTTTTTTAAAAAAAGTCCATGAAATTGCCTCACAAAAGTATACGAATTTTTCCTGTATTTCATATTTGATCATATTAAACGCAACACAAATTTTAGAATCGAATGGTTTTTATGCGTAATATTGTTTTAAGGGGTTACTATCCACGGAAAGGGTATATTTTTGGACCATTTGGTCCACAATTTTGGGGAATTTGTACCCTCTTTTCATGTAATATCATTAAAATGGCGATTTTTGGCCATAATTGTAAATTTGTATCCTTTTTTCCAGAGATAAAACAAAAATTTGATATTGGGACTTAAAAGACCCCTTGGGGTATCTAAAAATAATATTTTTGTTACAAGAATCTGTATTTAAACGTTCCAAGATAAATTATTCGGATCATTCTTCTGTCGCTAATTCAATATATTGGAACTTAAGTCCATTTTTATAATACTAGGATCAACTATTTTCGGGGAAAGTTTTCTGGTATATATTCTTTTAGATATCAGCTTTTATACATTTTAAGTTTTCAATGTGTTGTGGAAGTGTACAACTCCAAAACATGCCTCGAAGAAGCACCATTCAAAATAGTAAAATCATTATTTTTATATACCAATGGCCTCCATGCTGCATGGCACGATATCATTATGATCACATCAAAAATGTTGATATGTGTTTAAATATTATTTACTATGATCAAATTAAAACCAAAATTTAGAACTTACAGTGTTATTGTAACGGGCAACATAAGCGTGAAAGTTACGAGTAGTAAAAACTGAAATCTACTATATAGGATGACGTTTTGTTAAGGCATGATTTGGGGTTGTATACCGCTATAATATATTGAAAATTTAAAATACATTAGTGCCAATATGTACATGAATATACACTAGACAACTTTGTCGGAAAATATGGTCCCTAGAGGTACGAAAAGGGAC